AAGAATGAGGAGAAAATGAAGGACATTTTGGATATCAAATTTCTAACCATCATGTAATTAAAGTTCCAGAAATAGTAGAAAGAATGGGACAGAAGAAATATCAGAAAGGAAATGGATTAGAGCCCCCCCYCMCACACACAAATGATGGATGACATCAACCTACAGATTGCAACTAAGTGAATCTCATGCAGAATGAAGAGGAAAACTAGTCTAGGCGTATCATATTGAGACTACTCAGACAAACTATAAGGAAAAAAATGCACTGAGAACAGCCAGAGAAAAGAGACTTCATATTTAAGAAGAACATCAACAAGAATTGAACGCCTTCTCATCAGAACCAATAAAGTCGAATGGCTTTCTTAAAAGGATTTGATCATAACAACAACAAACATTGCCAGCTTGGAGTTCTACGGCCAGTAAAAAAATATTTGTCAAAAATGAAAATAAATTAAAGTCAGAAAGAAAGCCAAGGGAATATATCACTAACAGATCTATAGCACAGGAAATGCTAACGAATGAGACAGGAAACTCTAGAGGAAGTTCTCAAAGCTGAAGTGACCCATTATGGATATACAGACACACAGGAAAGAATGAAGAGTACCAAAAAGGATAACTTACAAGACTGTTTCACTTTTCTTTTTCTTTCTTTTCTTTTTTTTTGGTTTTGAAACTTTAATGAGGAAAAAAAAAAGATATACTATGGAGCTCAAAAACACTGTAGCCAGAGTGTCACTGGGTCAAGGACTGGGACTGCACACTGCCAAACTAGCAAACAGAATATATGTAACAAAAATACACACGGTCACAAAACGTAAAACTAGTGCCTGACACAGTTAAGTCCCGGTTTCCTCTTCGTTCAGCAGCATGTTGGGGATCCCGCAGCTGATGGGGAACACACGTCCAGACTCTGGGCATTGCAAGGTGCCCTCCAGCAGGTCCACCTCCAGCAACAGGTGATGCATCTTTCTCAGAAATGTCTCCTCCTTCTCGTAGCCCTCAATCAGCTCTTTTGGCACCTCCACCAGGTGCAAGGCATAAGCCGCCTCCAGAAGCGCCGCCCACTCCACACGGGTATCATCCTCGCTACCTAGTGGGGGTTGAACTCCACGGGGTTGATTCCGACTCCGGCTCCGGTGGCTGGGAGGCATAGGGAGAAGCCACGAGGACCCACCCCCGGCACYTGTGAGCTCAGTAGATCTTAGGTGAACAGCTTCATGTTTCCACACGCGATCCAAGACTATTTTATTTTGAAAAAAAGTATTTTAAAGTAACAGCCATAATTATTGGAAGTATAAAAATGTGAAGAAGCACCACATAGGAAGGAATATAAAGGGGGAGGGAGAACTGTACTTTGCAAGGTCTTTACATTGTGAGGACGTTATTAAATATAAATCCAATATGGGTAGCAATGATTTATAGAYCTCTGGAAGCCATTAAAATATAACACAAGGTACAGCTAAAAGACAAGGGAAGAAAACATGGAGTAATAATATCTTTTCCGGTTTTTATAATTGCCTCTTTGAATATGTAGTAGTTACCATACACTTAAGGTCTAATTTTAAACCCAGTGGTGTTTTCCCAACAAAAGTAGCTGTGCTACAGAGTTGCATTCTATTTTCCATGTAACATTTTCCTGGTATTGTTTTGGAATAATAAAAAAAATACAAACAGCTGATAAAGCCTAAACTGGATTTTCTCCTAATATGGTGAGGAATGAAGCTGCAGATTAAGGCTCCTGGCTGGATGGGCTTGAGGGCCAGAGTTATATAATATATTGGGAGTGGAAGGTCAGGACCTGTTCTCCACCCTGGGATGAAGGAGAAATACTTGGATCCCTAACTAAGAAAGTGAAAGCTCTTCCAAGGGTACTTGTCTCAAAAATGCTGTCTGACTTCTTTGCCAAAAAAAATACTTGATCATTGCAATTAAAGGATTCTTTGGTGGATTGTTTTAGATGAACCAGTGTGTTACTCAGCTGGTCATGACCGATATCACACATCTGTTGCAAAAGGAAAAAAAAAAAATCTTAAAAACCCCTTAAGAATTATACAGGGAGCAATAACTGTCTCATTATCTTGTCGATTTCAGATGTATTTCAACCACTAGAATGGGTCCATCTTGTCCAATTATAAAGAATTCAGTGAAAAACCTCTTACCACCAAATTATCAAATACAGCTGCCTAAAATTCTTTTTATCATAAAATGCATTTTACATTTTTCTTAAATGCTTTAATTTTTAAAAACATAAACTGTCTCTGTTACTGTCAATTAACATCCAAACTAGAACTACTTACAATCAGGTACCATACATAAAAGGATCAATGATAAAATTCCAGAATTTTCTACCAAAGGTGATTTAGAAATCTGGGAAGGATCACCAAGGGTATAGAGAATATGAGCAAATAGGATTTTTTGGTCCTATTTATGGAAACATTATTTCCCCCCTCCTTATGTACTCTCATGCATATCACTGTGTTTTACATATGACATGTTTAGTTAGCCTCTGCATACTGTGACTGTAAGACCGGACAAGAACAACCTATAGGAGGAAGAGTAGATAAGAACACCTTAGAGGAGGAAGAGTTCATTTTGGCTCACAGTTTCCGAGGTTCAGTCCACAGGGGGCTCACTTCATAGATCTTGGCCTACATAAGGAAGAGAACATCATGGCAAAGGGTTTTGGCAAAGGGAAGCAGCTCAGAACATGGCAATCAGGAAGGAGAAAGGGGACGAGGAGTATGAGATTGATCTCCACTCACCAGGGACAAAAGATAAACCCCAAAGTCAGGCCCCCAGTGAGATCCATCCTCCAGCCACACCTCACCTGCCTACAGTTACCACCAAGTTAATCCATATAAGTGGATTGATCCACTGATTAGGTTAAGTCTCTCATAATCTAATCCGTTCACCACTGAACTTTCTTGCATTGTCTCACACATGAACTTTTGGGGGATACTCATTTCTAAACTGCAACATTACACTTGATAATAATCCACTGCTGCTCTGCATATCAAAATTTAGTTTGTCTTAAGGGAGTCATGATGCCCACAGTTGACATTACTGTGTCCTTGCTGCAGTTATCTCTTTCTTATTTAGGGTGAAATAGCTCAGACCAAACATTGGTTAAGGGGTACTCTCAGCCAGAAATAAAAGCGAACTTGGAGGATGTTCTCTTTTTTTTTTTTTTTTTTTTTTGTACTGAGAATTGAACTCAGAGGCACTCAATCACTGAGCCACATCCTCAGCCCTATTTTGTGTTTTATTTAGAGACAGGGTCTCACTAAGTTGCTTAGTGCCTCGCTAAGTTGCTGAGGCTGGCTTTGAACTCATGATCTTCCTGCCTCAACCTCTCAAGCTGCTGGGATTACAGGCATGCGCTGCCACACCCGGCTAGGAAGAGATTCTTTGAAAGAAGTTGCAAAAATTCTCCAAATTTGAAAATTAAACAAGCAAAAACAAATCATGTGAGAACAACAAAAGAAGATACAACTGAACTCAGTCTTCATGGCTGGGGACCAGAGTGTTTCTGTTAATCAGACATTCTGCTCTTAGGAAATATTTGTCAATCATGTATCACAGAGTAACATTTTATTTTTATGTAATTCATCATAATCTCTCAGGATTTCAACATTTTGACATATGTCTACCTTAATGTGCCTCTTACTTTTAAAAATAAGTATTTATTGGAAATTTTATGTTCTGAATGCTTTACGTGTGCTAATTCATTTAGTCCTGGCAGCAACTCCATAAGGAGAGTACCCCATGAAGTTACTCAAGCTGTTTTACTCCTAGATTGGCAGTGATACTGTCAGGTAGTGAGTGACCATAGGAGCCAACACTGTCTCTTAACAGCTGTACGCTATTCTGAGGGTGGGGAAATTATTCTCACCAAGTGACCAAGGGTCTCCATTCTGAGTCATAGGTTTTTCCACTTAATGTTACAGATTATTTCTTCTGTCTCACTCTCTTATAATCTTAGCAGTTAAGTTTTGTAATAGATTTGAGGTTTTTTTTCAACTTTAAAATATGGGAAATAGACATATAATTTACCATTTTAAGGGTGTAGTTCAGCTGCACTGGATGCACTCCTGATGCTGTGCAGCTATCACTACCAGCCTTCTCCAGAACACTTCTCATTTGATCTGAAACACTACCCATTAAACACTGCTGTCCTTTTCCCTCTTCCAGCCCCTAATAATCACTATTCTACTTTTTGTCTTTATGGATTTGACTACTCTCAGTGTCTCATAAATAGGATCATATAGTCTTTGTTCCTTTGTGACTAGCTCACTTCACTTAGAATAATGTCCTTGAGTCTCATCCACATCAAAACATTTGTCAAAATGCTCCTCCTGTTTCAGGCTGAATAATATTCTACTGTGCATGTACACTATAATTTGCTGATCTATTGCATTGTACCACCTTTTGACTATTGTGAATAATACTGCTGTGAGCATGGTTGTACAAATATCTCTTTTGAGTCATTGCTTTCAATTCTTTTGGGTATATATCCAGAAGTGGAATTGCTGATCATATGGAATATACTTTTTAAATTTTTTAAGAAACACCACAGTGTGTTCTAGAGAGGTTGTACCATTTTACATTCACACCAAGAGTGCACAAACGTGCCAATTTCTCCAGCTCCTTGCCAACATTTCTTGTACTAATGGATGTGAGAACAAGTACTTTGTCACTCCTTTTGCAATCATTGTCTTAGATACTTTACGGAAACAAGCCTTTTCCATACATGTTTTGACTGATATATCTGTTTAACTTCCCATTTTATGAATGTGTGAGAATCACAAAATATATTATGGCATTGATTCCTATATGGCCACAGAATCATAATGAAGTATTGAGAATAAAATAGGGCTGCTACTGAATGGAGATGATTGCCTGGAATCCCTCTCTACCACACAAATTGTATTTAAACTTAAAATTTTGTGACTTTGTAACATCAGTATACCAATTTGCATTTACGAATATTATTCTTTCCTCAGAAAATCCATTCCTCGCTGCCGAAGAATCAACAGGATGCTCTCCAATGAATCCCTACATTCTCCTGCATTCTGCCGCTCCAACTCACAAGCCTCCGTAGACAGCACCTCCATGGAGGATTTCTGGCGGGAAATAGAAAGCATTAAAGAGAACAGCATGGGAGGGCAGGAAGAGCAGCTGCCGGCTGAGGTCAAGCCTGTGGATGGTAAGGGGACACTCCACTTGTAGCTTAAAAATCAGTAGAACTTGGCATAAGAGTTCCCTGTTCCCATTGGTTTTATCTGCTGAATTGGCTCAGTTGGCTTTTCATCCATGAAGGAGGCCGAGCCTCAGCTGAACCAGTTGAACCCTTGTATATCACTACTTAGATTCTGTACCTCTCTGTTGATTTGGTAGTACATTACCATCAAGCAGACTGAGTATTATAGTTTTGTTGGCTTTTACTTTGTATACATGACTATTAGTTATGAATAAAGGAAAGAAAAATATTCGTTTTGAATCATTTCTTTCTTCTTCTTCCTCCTCCTCCTCCTCCTCCTCCTCCTCCTTCTTCTTCTTCGATTGTCTGGTATTCCACGAAAAATAAAAGTCATGTTTAGCCTTCTGATTTTTAGTGAAACAAAACAGAAGAAGGTTAGAGTCCAAAACATGAAAACAAAGAAAAAAAAAGGGGGGGGAGTCTAGTTTTCCTTAGTTTGCAAAAAGCAAAATTGCATTGCTTACCTGGGATTAAAAGTATAGGCCCTTTCTTCTAAGCCCTAGCAATCACCAGGTAAATACATAGATATCCAAGAAAGACTGAAGCTAGATTAGTAAATATGCACCTAAGAAAGCTTTCATAAGCCTGGAAGTAGCCTCAAGACAACTACCAAGATAAACTGAAATTAAAAAAAAAAACAAAAAACTTCTCATTCTTCATTCCCTTTTCTAAAAAGTCTGCTTTTCTCACCACTAGGAAGTGATTACTGAGATGCAGCACAGTTAGTATACATCCCACACTGTTAGTAATAAAAAGCCTTACCACACAGATCATGAGAATCTCTTCTACGGAACCACCCTCTATCAGGGAGGGCTATTTTTTCCCCCTTTACTTATTTCCTGACATTTTGTATTTTCAGAAATACTTCAATTTAATGTCAGTTTAATACATTAATTCCTATATGGTCGAATTACAAACCGTGAGCTCACAGTTATAACCTCCAATTCAAATCTAGAGCCACAGGGTCTATTGCTGTCTTCTCTTTTTCTTTATTCATAACTCCCTTCTCCGATAATGAGAAACCTGGCTCTCACTCTCTACTGTATATTTACTCTTTGGATCCTGCCTAGAATAATGGAAAATATTTTCAGGTCTGCTAGCCTAAACCACTATAAACTGCAGGTGTATTAACTAGAGTTTAATATTTATAGTTTAATATTTACTTCAAATGTCCTTGAAGTATTTTCACAGATCTTCAGTGTGCGGTTCATCGAGCTTTGACAAAAGGATGCAATGCACTTGTAACTTCACACTGATCAAGATAGACAATATTTCATTCAACCCAGAAAATCTCCTCATGCTTTGTCACAGTCTTATCCCACTTAGTGATTCACTGTCCCATGGTTCCTGTCTTTGTGCATCACTGGTTAGTTGGGATTTGGCTAATTTCACTGAGCATAATGTTTTAAAGATATAGCCAGTGTATTACTGGTTACTTCATTTTTATTAGTGGGTAGTTTGTATTAGTTACTAGGGCTACCTTAACAAAGTACCAGAAAACTTGGTATTTTATAGTATACATCATGATATTTTAAGATGTGCATTCTATTTATATCCTAATTATATCTATAAAGACTATTTCTAAGAAAAGTCACATTTTCTGATACCCTGGTGGTTAAGGCTTCAACACATCTTTCTTGAAGACACAATTCACCTGTAGTAGTAGTATTCCATTGGATGAATATACCTTATTTTTAAAATATATGTATATTTTTAGGTGTAGGTGGACACAATACCTTTATTTTATTTCCTTGTGGTGCTAAGGATTGAACCCAGTGCCTCCCGCAGGCAAGGCAGTGCTCTACCACTGAGCCACAACTCCAGCCCCAATATACCACATTTTAAAAAATCCTTTTTAGCTGCTAATGGACTTCTGGGTTTGTTTTGGTTTTCTTGTTTCAGTTTGGCTATTATACATAAGGCTTCTATGAGTAATCTTGTAAGAAATCTTTTTTGAGCATTTGTTTCTATTTCTCTTAGATACATGTATTTGTATAGGATATGTTTAACTATATAAGAAAGTGCCAGAAATTTTCCCAAGTAACTTTACCATTTTTAACCTCTTTCAGCAACTTATGACATTTCCACTTTTTTTCGTTTCCACATTTTTCAACATTTGATATCATCAGTTTTCTATATATTAGTGATTGTAATCACTAATTACAATACATGGAACCATTTCATTATAGTTCTAATTACATTTCACCGGTAACAAATGATGTTTAATTTTTTTCTGTACTTATTATCCTTTCATTTGTCTTGTTTTGTGAAATATTTTGGCTCTTTTACAAAACTTCCTTTTTTATTATTGATTTGCATGACTTCTTGATATGTTCTGGATACAAGTCTCCCAGACGGATATACTATAAATATTTTCTCACTCTCTCTTGGACTTGCCTATTCATATTCTTAAATGGGGTCTTTTAATTGAGTCAGTCTCTCTCTTTCTCCTTCTCCCTCTTTCTCTCCAATATTTTGCTGCAGGTATACGGAAATAACAACTTAACTTCTGTATCTTGATTTTATATCCCATTACCTCTCTGAATTCTAGTAATTTTCTTCTGTATTTCTTAGGATTTTTATAGAAAAACAAAGAATTCTGTTTTTCTATCTGATATTTATACTTTTTAAAAAAAATCATGTCTTTTTGTACTGATGAGGGATTCCAGCACAAGTTGAATAGAAGTGGTAACAACACATATGCTTGCTGTGTTCCCAGCTTTACAGGAAAAGGGTTCAGTGTTCTCTGTTAAACATGATGGTATCTGTGAACTTCTTAACGATGCTCTTACAAGATAGCATTCTAGTCCTATTTTCTGAAAATAATATGAATGGGTGTTGAATTTTGTTATTTTTTTTCTACATGATTCATTGAAAAATTAATAAAATCTGTGTTTCTTCTAAATTATGTTCTTTTCGTTTAATTTGCTCATTGTTTTTTTTCTCTTTAAGATAGCAACTTCAAGCATTTATGAACAATTCCTGTAAACAATGGTTTCACTGCACCCTACCAATTTTGAATATGTTGTACTTTCATTATAGTTTTGTTTCAGATATTTTCTCATTTTTATTGAATATTTCTTAATTTCCAAATAACTGGGGATTTTCTAGACATCTTGTTATCTATTTTTAAGTTAATTGTGTTGTGGTTAGGGACCATAGTTTCAGTCTTTGAAATTCATTTAGATTTATTTTATGATCTTTTCTGAGTTTCCCTGTCTGCTCACACATATCACAAGCATTTTCTCCTTTAAGTCCTTGAGCATAGGTAGGAGAGCTACTTTCATGTGCTTATTCAATATTAAAGTCTTCAGAGTTACTTTCTATTGCCTACCTGTCTCTTGTTAAATTGATCTACTTTGTTGTTTGCTTGCTTTTCTGAGATATTCTGTTCTACGTGATCAATATGTTTCAGAGACTGTTTTCTGTTATATTCTCTAAACCAAGTTCATTTTGGTTCTAGCAGTTAACTTGACTGGATTCATCCTTGTAACTCTTCTTCCCTACTCAGTGCAGTCTGGGTAATCTTGGTCAGTTATGTTTGTCTTCATCTGCTCCCCTCACTCTTTCACCCCATGCTTGGAGTCTCCCACACAGCTTTTTAGTTCAAGGTTTAGTCAAGAATTTGGTTAGAATTTATGCACAGATTTTGGAACTCTATCCTATGTGGTTCCCTACTAACAGGAATGTGCTCCTCACTTTTCAGCTGTTTATGTAATCCTATACTTTATTCTGTAACTCCTCAAATAAATAAAAATGTGTCTTTCTCTTTTGAGTTCTAGTCACCTTGTACTGTAGAGATTGGAAAATGACCCTAGCTGAAGATCAGTATAAGTGCAAGTCCTACCCAGTACATTTTCTTTTATAAAAATTTGATATTTTTTAGTTCCTGTACTTGATTCTTTTCTAGTATATTCATGTAGTTATTTTGTGTATTTTTTTCAGAATTTGTAACAGTTAAATACAATACAATTATGTCAGTATAAGCTACTCCATTTTACTAGAAGATTTTATTTTGTTTGATATGTTTCTCCATCAAACTTTCTAAGCTGGTAGAATTTCAGTATGGAAGGGTATATATGATAGCTGGGACTTTCAGTATGGAATGATATATATGATAGCTGGGTTTATTTTTTTAAAGAGAGAGATAATTTTTTAATATTATTTTTTAATTTTCGGGGGACACAGCATCTTCATTTTATTTTTATGTGGTGCTGAGGATCGAACCCAGCGCCCTGCGCATGCCAGGTGAGTGTGCTACTGCTTGAGCCATATCCCCAGCCCCAGTCCCAGCTGGGTTTATTTTTTAAAGTTGAATTTTTTTATTCATTGTTTTATGACTTCTTAGAATATATTTTTTAGTTATATTCTTCAACAGAAACTTATTTTTTCACTTAATTAATTCAACACATATGTCTCCCTGCTCTGTACTAAGTAGAATGAAAGGTATTGGTGATAGACTAGACACAAAACAGACATGTTTCTCTTTTTCATGAAATTAGTAAGGTAGGGGAAGAGAAAGTAATTAATGAAATACTATAAGTAGATCTATTGGGGGGAGGGGATTACTTGAAGGAAAAAAGAATGATAGTATTGGAATTGATATTAGTAGGATATGGCCCTGTCTGATGGCTTCAGACTTTATTGAAGGAGAGATGTACAAACAGACCTGGCAGTTTGAGTGGCCAATGATTAAAGGGTCAAGTAGACTGCCACACTAAAAGGCCTTGCTAACAAAATAGAGCATGGAACTTTTTTAAATTAATTTTTTATTTATATGTGATGGTGGAATGCATTACAATTCTTATTACATATATAGAGCACAATTTTTCATATCTCTGGTTGCATACAAAGTATATTCACACCAATTTGTGTCTTCATACATGTACTTTGGATAATAATGTCCATCACATTCCACCATCATTTATAACCCCATACCCCCTCCCTTCCCCTTCCATCCCTCTGCCCTATCCAGAGTTCATCTATTCCTTCCATGCACCCCCTCCCTACCCCACTATGAATCAGCCTCCTTATATCAGAGAAAACATTTGGCATTTGGTTTTTTGGGATTGGCTAACTTCACTTAGCATTATCTTCTCCAGCTCCATCCATTTACCTGCAAATGCCATGAGTTTATTCTCTTTTATTGCTGAGTAATATTCCATTGTGTATATATGCCACATCTTTTTGTTATTCATTCATCTACTGAAAGGCATCTAGGTTGGTTCCACAGTTTAGCTATTGTGAATTGTGCTGCTGTAAACATTGATGTGGCTATGTCCCTGTAGTATGCTGTTTTTAAGTCCTTTGGGTATAAACTAAGGAGAGGGATAGCTGGGTCAAATAGTGATTTCATTCCTAGTTTTCTAAGGATTCTCCATACTGCTTTCCATATTGGCTACACCAATTTTCAGTCCCACCTCAGTGTATGAGTGTACCTTTTCCCCCATCCCCTCACCAACACTTATTGTTGTTTGACTTCATAATAGTTGCCATTCTAACTGGAGTAAGATGAAATCTTAAGAGTAGTTTTGATTTGCGTTTCTCTAATTTCTAGAGATGATGAGCATTTTTTCATATATTTGTTGATTGAACATGGAACTTTTGAGGACTTTAAAGTAGTTGGTATTTCTGGGGAGCTGAGGGTAAGAAGAGGATTGTATGAATGTATCCAGAAGATGAAGCAGCCTTATATGTTGTAGACCACGATGAAGAAAGGAAAAGTCATAGCATTATTTTTGTTTACATGTGAAAGGATTAGTTTAGTTACAATATGGAAAAGAAGTTTGAAGAGTATCAAGAATGGCTGTAGGAAGAACTATCAAGAGTCTGACCTAGCAGTCTAGATGAGAGATGATGGCTGCTTTGACCAGGGTCATGGCAGAAGAGATTAAGGAAGGTAGATACTTTTGAGATAAAATGAGGAAGTAGTATCAAAAGGTCTTGGTGAAGCCTCCTGCCATGGTACATGCCTATGACTTCAATGACTTAAAAGGTTGAGGCAAGAGGATTGCAAATTTGAAACCAGCCTGGAAAACTTAGTGAAACTCTGTCTCAATTCTTTTTTAAAAGAGTGGTGGGGTGAGGTGTAGGGGTATCTCTAAGAGGTAAAGTACCCCTGGGTTCTATCCTCAGTCCTATAAAAAGGCAAATAAAAAGGTTCTTGTTTATGTGCTCGAGTTGATGCATAAAGAAGGAGATGTCAGGAATGTCTCCCGAGTTACTCATTTGCCTAATTACTAGAATAGAAGTTCTATTTATTGAAACATGCAATAGTGAAAGAGGCCTAGAGTTGAATGATGGATGAGTTCAGGTTTGAACGTATTGAATATGTTGTGATTGATACAACTAAGGGGATGTTGGTACATGGAGCTGAAATTCAAAGACGTGCTCTAGGCTGCAGTTACACATTTAGCAACTGGAGTAATGAGAATAGGATTGCCTAGTATGTAATTTAGCAAGCAGGAGACATGCTGATATCTGCTGTAGATGTCTCTTACCTAGGAAAACATTCTACATATACCATTTCCACCTCAAGTTTATGTTAACTCTAACCTACCAGTTTTTCCTTCCTCCTACTGTGTCATCTCTCCTTACAGAGTTGAAGAGAAAAACATACAATTTAAAGCTTTAATATTAAACTATATGTATAATTTTTGTCTTCAGAAATGAAAATCTTACCTAAGGCTTATGAGAGACTTCCAAGTCACAAAAACTCACTGATTTAAAAGGACTATTGTGTTAGAATAGAGCTGCTAACCATAAATTCACCTCATTTTTTTTTTGTTAAAGGGACAGTTTACAAAGCAAACAAACAATAAAAATAAGATAGCAAATAAAATATTTGCCTAGTTAAGAAATTGGGCCTATAAAGCACATTAGAAGACTTTGTTTATATATCAATGATGCAATCATGTACACAGAGTCCAGGACTCCTAGACTGCTGCTCTGACATGTATTTACACATCAGTCTAATCTGCTCTTTAAACAAGCTTTATTCAGGCAATGCCTGTTTTGCCTGGTACCTAGAAATGTGCATGTAGTAGATTTGCTTTTATGGGACGTCATTATCCTGAATTTCTTTCATTTCTATACCTCTGGTTTATAATAGCAGCTAATGCTCATGGATGAATCTTACATTTTTAAATCACCTTCTGAAAAAGGGTAGAATTATTGCCCCATGCTCAGAATAAGGAGAGAAACAGGAAAATAAATACTTATTGAACATCTTATTCCAGATTCTTTGCCATCTTTATAAATGCATTGCTTTAAAAAAAATCATCAAGTCTACCTAATTTGCTATTATTGTCCCCATTGTTGATACTCTTGTTATTGGTATTGTGGTCACTCACAAAATGGTGGCTATTAACTCAAGCCTGCCCTGATGAAACTCCAAGGCACTTGATTATAAATGTTTACAAGGTACTTATTCATGAGATGATTCTCTACCACACTATGACAAGTTGACCTTTTTAAAGGAAACTTGTTTATATGGCAGGTGCCCTTGTGGCTCTTGTCTGACCTACGTCCGGTTTATTCCTACCAAGATAGCCATTTCAGGAGACCCCTGACTGGGAAGGAAATTAGGTTTGCATGTGTTGGTCAGATGAGATCAGAAGAGGCAACTCAAGACACATGAAGTAACAGAAGCAGTGAATTACTACAGGTCCTAGAGAGGAGAGGGCTACACCTGACAGGGACAAAAGGAAGAGGGGAAGAGGGGAAGTCATCCAGGACCCATACATTCAGCCAGTGAAGGGGGAGCAAGAAAGAAGGAGCATGGTACCAGGGGGCTGAAGCCCTTATTGGAGTCCAGGGTGTCACCCAAGTAGAATATTCCAAGGGGAGTTCTATTGGTAGATTGAGAAAAGCAGGCACAGAGCAACATGGATTGAGGCTGTGACTGAAAGGCCATGAGCGGGGTAAGGCCAGCAGGGCCAGTCAAGTAGGTTGCATCTTGTTATCCGATAGGCAGGTGGTAACCAGGAAAAAGTTGTACAAGGCAGGTATCTGGAGGAATTGGGAAGAGGTGGAAAACTGGAAACTGTCCAAGGTGACTGAGCCCTGCTTGTGGCATGAAGAAGTTAAGCCCATGAAAACGAATTCCAAGGCAACATCAATCACTACACCCATTTTGCTGAGGGGACACTGCTGGAGGTATTTCAGCAATTTACTAAAATCAATGGCAGTACTAGGATTTGTCCTTGGATTTGAGTGATTTACAAACCCTTTGTGCTCCACTAAGCCATACTTTTTCTGTTATTGTTTTAGTCTTAATAGTTATATTTTATCATTTTTTGAAAATGGCAGTTAACCTATGGCTTATGTTTAACCCTCTGGCAAGGAAAATTATCTTTCTAAATTGGCCAGTCAACTTTGCTCTACTAGACAATATTTTATAATTGGACTTTCTATTGCATTTTAAAATTAAGACTTTTCATTTATTCTTATAATCCTTTCCCATAATTACTGTAAAAAATGAGACATCTCATATTACTTACTTATTTCTTATTGTCTTATGTCCACAGACCTGTAGTTACACACATATGGAAAAGGTCCTAATCTCCTCTTGGTCATGTTGTGTTACAGAAGGAGAACTTGAAGCTGAGTGGCTGCAAGATGTGGGTTTATCAACTTTGATCTCAGGCAACGAAGAGGAAGATGGGAAAGCCCTGCTCTCTACATTGACTCGAACCCAAGCAGCTGCGGTGAAAAAGAGATATAATACCTATACTCAAACCCTGAGAAAAAAGAATAAGCAGTCTGTCAGGGATGTCAGAGACATCTTTGGAGTTAGTGAATCTCCTGTAAGTAATGAATATGGCTTAAAAAGTGTTACTTAGATTTTGAGGGGGGATGGGCGGCAAGAAGGGATGGTAAGAATAGAAAAAATATCAGAAAAGGCTGGTTCCATATCAGTTATCAGAGAAAACTAACACAGACACCATAATGCAGCATTTTATAAATTTGAACTTGAATGATCATTCCTCATTTCCCATAACTTCATTCTCCCTCCAAACCAAATTTATTTTCTTATGTGTTGAAGTTTGAAAGTAACTTCTTTGGTAGTGAAGTGGCTATTTATGTATGGATACACAGTGCCTTACTTAAATCTAAGCACTGAATGAGAATTCTGTGGTCAGACTTTGTGAGAAAGTGAGTGGGTTATTTTACATGGAAGTGGGGGGAAGACGGTAGAGTAGACTGTATGTTCAGAAAAATTAACATGGCTAAAAAGTGAAAGATGGGGCTGGGGTTGGGGCTCAGTGGTAGAGCACTTGCCTAGCACATGTGAGGCACTGGGTTCAATCCTCAGTACCACATAAAAAATATAAATAAATAGAATAAGGGTATTGTATCCATCTACAACTAAAAAAAATTAAAGTGAAAGATAACAGCACTAGTTAAGTGGGCAAGAGATTGATTCAGTACACCATAAAAAGGAAGCGTCCCATGTTTTATGAGAAATGACTGAAATTCCAAATTACCCTTAGAAGTTCCAAGGCTATTATTTTGCTTCCTAGTCTGTCATTTTTCTCCTCCCGCTAATTCTTACAATTATTTAATTCATTCATTGCACCACTGCAGTGTTATATTGCAGTAATGCTGAGAGCCATAGTCGGAATGAGGAATGGCATTTTTGCCAGAACAATGGTTGAGAGGTGACCCAGCAAGCCATTGAGATGATAATGGTTATGTTAAGCTGTGTATTCAATTGTATATTAGACCCCTGCTGTCCGCCTAGGTCTACTACTTTGGAGTTCCCATTGGTTGGGGAAGTGCGGGAGGGGGGATTTCCGAAGGAGGGATTTCCGGTTGGTGTGTGGTGTGGGCCAGGAGAAAGCTGTGCATGGCGTTGGAGAGAGTGTGGAGAAAAAAGGAGTTCCTGTTTTGAACCTACAAGGCTGTGTGGCGGTTGGGTTATTTTGTGCCCAACCAGACTGCTGCACAGTAATTGCTTCACTGATTTAACAAATACTTTATTAACACATGCTCTGTATAAGGTCCTATATTAGGTTCTATGCAGATAAGATTCTTGGAACATTTGAGGTAATTAGTATATAGAAAAAAGGAAATTTGATATTCTTCTGCAGTGACAGAAAAGTTGCCTAGGGCAGTTTAGTTAATCATTCTGACTTAGGTTTCTCATCTGTTTCATTTTAATATCAATAATGACATGAATTAAAACTTCAAGGATCTTTGGTGGAAATCATGCTTGAAGACTTAGTCACCAATTTGAATGACTCTAGGTTGTCTGTAAGTCATCTTCTCACTTACATATATTAATAATCAAGGATAGTTGCCAGGGAAGCTCACATCTGCATAGTTGACCTTTCCATTTGTGGTAATGGTGTCTTAGAATAATACTACCCTTTAGACTTTCTATATTGATAGAAATAATCTCTCTATCCAGTCCTGTGTGGCAACTGGCAACTGAAATGTGGCTAGAGTAAAGAAGGAACTGAATTTTTATGTTTTTCTAGTCTTAACTGATTTAAATCTAAACAGTCACCTGTGGCTTGTAGCTTATGTATTTAACAGCACAGTTCTAGAATCTTCTGTCTATTGTGATAGCAGATACACCTTGTAGTAAGTGCATTCTAGGTTCTGTGATATCTGGACGTTCAACTTAGTTGAAACCCATGTCTTTCTGGATGGTGGGATTTTTCTATGTCTGTAATTGAGTAAAGATGGATTCTACAACTTGAGGCCAAGATCTGAAATACAGGTGTCTGGCCAAGATGCCTATAAAAGAAAAAAAAAAGGTTTGTCTGAATGTTTAAAATTCCCTGGGTCATTTTTTTAGTTACTTTCAGGATCATAGTTGTAAGGGCCCTATACACTTTGTTTACATGTTTCCTTTCTCACATCTGTTTCCAGCTACTTCAGACTAAAGTTTTGGCTCTACTCTAGCAAACTATGAAATAGAAAAAGGTCTGCAGATTTCTCCTAAATCCTCCAGTTKCTCAGGAAATGTGTAACTACCCTTTTCAGGTTTCCTAAGACTGAGCTATAAACCCCAGCCCCTAGGTTCTATATACTTTTGTCTAAAACTTTTAGAACAAGTATTTATTCATTTACTTTCTCTGGACTTCTAGTAACATAGAGTTCCTTTATTTTGTACCTCCCTCTTCATTTACTTTAACCCTCCATGAAGAGAAAGATAAAAAGGGAAATTGCTCATTGGGTCCAGAGTGTCAAAAGAAATGAGTCTTCCTTCTCTGATATACATATGGGCCACCTACTGTTCAGCGTCAACTCTGGGAGGGACAGAAAGGGTCTAGTTGATGTATCTGTGGAGGGGAGGATGGCCCCAGGGCTCTTCCTTGGGTTTGCTTTCCTTTCTCTCTTGTTATTGAAGAATGAATTGAGAATGGTAACTAAGATGGAGGGCAGCAAGGGGGAGGGGCAGGCATTGAAGACAGAGGAAAGACCATATATTATCCATTCCAGGGAGTAGAGAATTCTTGTGCTGTACCTGAAAATGGGGGAATCAGAGAAATGAGAGTCAGTAAATGCCTGACATTGTCTAGACTGCTTAAAACAATTCAGATCTTTTCTTGTTAAAACTGTGAAAAGCCATATAAACCTAGTCTTTGTGGGAAAAAAGTTGTGTAATTCTAATATATAAAGTCTAAATAACATCTTTGCAGATTTGCTTTTTTTTTTCCCTAAAAATTTCAGCATGTGTTTCTGCAAGTAAAAAAAAAGTTGGATGTTTCTAAGTGTTGACCTCAGCCTTTTCAGTTTTCTATTTGAATTTAAAGCATAAATGACAGTTCCACCTTCCTTCCTCTTTCCTGTGTCTCTGTCCAGATCTCCTTCCTCTGTCCTCCTCCTCTCCTTTCTCTTCCTCTCCCCTTTCTACTCTTTATGGCCTTACTATGGAATCATTTACCTACATTAATTGAATATAACTAAATTTTCCCATTTCACTTTCTTAGTAAAGAATGATAAGACTTTGCATTAATTTTACATATATGAATTTGACCCAGTGAGCATATAAATTTAATAATTTGAAAAATAGATATATAGATTACTCTAGTTATTAATTTTTTCTTTTACTCATAGAATTCCATTCTCAAAATCACTTTCCTTCAGAATTTCAAAGATACTTTCTATAATCTTCTCTCATGCATGATCACTATGGCAAAGAACAATGTCTCAGTCTTTTAATGGAGTGGAAACTTTTTGAATTTTATTTTTACTATTAGAATCTTGAAATATTACCAGTTTTACCTTTAAAAAAATCATCCTAATCAGTACTGGAATGTGCCCTTTCAATTTGAGAGCTGATTCCTTCTTTAGGTTCTATATACTTTTTTAAAAAAATTGTTTTTGTTGTAGAGAGACACAATATCTTTTTTATTTATTTGTTTTTATGTGGTGCTGAGGATCAAACCCTTACACATGCAAGGCAAATATTCTACCAACTGAGCTATAACCCCAGCCCCTAGGTTCTATATATTTTTGTCTAAAACATTTAAAACAAGTATTTACTCATTTTACTTTCTCTGTGATCTCCTTCTGATATCCTTATTTTGCATTGATTGAGTGGAACTTTTGTGTGTCTTAATTGTTCTCTTTTATTTCCTAAATTTTCCCAGGTTTGTTCTTCATTCTTGGATATCTCTTCAACTTCATTTATTATGTTAGTAATTTGGCTATGGTTATATTAACTTGTGATTTTCATTAATTTTTTAAAAAATGCAACAGTCATATTTCCAATTTACTGAAGTTCCTTCTTTCTCCTGATTCCCCTTTTATTACAGCAATCTGTTTCTCTTTCTTGGCTACAATAGTCTCCTAGCACTCTGAAGGTATTAATAACTAAACCTTTAATTCTAAAGTTCTCTCCCTTTCCTTGAAGTATCTGTTTCCTTCAGAGTGATGCATTTTTTTTTTAGCAGCATGTATTTCTTATTGCCATTGTTTAATTGATTTTGATCTATGGGTGCTGATGTCTTTCTTTTTGGGGGGGCGGGTGGGAACTGGGGATTGAACTCAGGTGCATTTAACCACTGAGCCACATCCCTGATCCTATTTTTTGTATTTTATTTAGAAATAGGGTCTCACTGAGTTGCTTAGGGCCTTGCTAAATTGCTGAGGCTGGCTTTGAACTTTCAATCCTCCTGTGTCAGCCTCTGAGCCGCTGGGGTTACAGGTGTGAGCCACCTTGCCCAGCGTAAATGTCTTTCTTAATGGAGGACTAGATTGTTTGCTCCGTTTGTGTAGGTAAGACTGCATGCTTTCTATGCAGTTGTGTAGACCTCTTTTCTCCATGAACGCTCCTGTGAGTAGAATTCAGGGCCCATGTGAGCGATGAGATCTATCGGTTATCACACTTCACTTTAAGACATAACATGGCATCAATGCCAAAGTAACAAAAGTCCCCAAGAACTGCCATTTATTTCCTTTTCAGGAATAAATAAACCAACTTCCCTTTATATATTCCTGTCCTTATCCTTTTAGAAAGCCCAGTGAAGTGTAATTCAGTCTTCCTTTTGTACTCCACTACCACACCCTTACCAGGACAGCCTCCACCAACAATGAAGGCAGTCATTGTGTCACTAAGAATTCACCATCAGTGTTCCAAGAAGGAAAACCGTTTTTCAGTTCCTTTGGTCATTTTCTGAGTTGGAGGTGCCTCTCTGATATTTTTATTTCCTATTAGATATGAGCTTTCTCTGAATAAGCATTTACTTTCTACTCATTTTCCTCTTGTGCCTTTTTTTCAGGCTGAGTTATCTTCTGCCTTGATCAAATCACTCTTGCCTGCATTTTATCTTCCAGGAATTTCCAACAA